TTTTNTTTTGTGAAGGAAGATCAGATTTAACGATTAGAATTGTTTCAACTTTAATTAAGTGCGCAAATGTGATGTCCATGCGTGCTAGCGCAATCATACGACGATATAGATCACGAACCAGTGACTGTAGCTTATTGCTGAAAGCAGTGCAATTCCAAAATGGCAATACAAGGTTGCGTGTTTTCCCGAAATTTATTGATGGTAAAGTTATTATTTGATTTATTCTTAAAATATCTCACAAATCTATTCATGGAATCATTTTTTTTCTTTTTATAAATGTTGAAATTAAGAATGCATAAAAAAAGCAAAAAAAAAATATTAAATGAATCTTTCAGCGAATATTTAATCATTTAGTAATAGAATTCTGATTTTATAAGATGAATATTTAACATGTAATAAGCACATACACATTTACTAAATTCGAACTTATTTAATGCAAAAAATTTCTCAAAATTTTAATCACTATTTAGATCGCGAATGCGTTCCCATTCCAACTGATTGCAGTAGCAATGATCTTGCAAGCAATCCTTCTTCCTATTTATGTAACCCTAATTCTACCATATATCCACAAACAAATCCATCAGCTATTCGTTTTCCCAATAAATTGGTACAAATCATTTTAATCATTCATTAGTGTTAAAGTGATAATTTCGATATCGAAAATAATGAAAAGGAAATTTTGCTAAATAGCATAAATGGTTGTTTTTTTTTTTTTTTTGTAAAAATGTGATAGCTGTATTTGGATGAAATTTCAATTAATTAATTATTACTTTGTGTTAGAAATTTATGACGTGATAAGAGATTATTGTAGGAAGTATGCCAACCGCCGGTTGAACAGAATATTATTTGTCGTTTCGATAAAACTAAACTGAATCCCGAAATGGCATTTATAGTTCAGAAAGATGGTAGTTCCCAAAATACTATTTCAAACATGTGCAATACACCCATCCCTATTAACCAACAACACAAAGTATCCGATGTCCTAATAGAAAATTCTGTTGATCTGACTTCTGAGAAGCATCCAAGAAGTAAACAACAATATTATGGTAGCGAACAACTTAATAGTAATTGGCAAATCCAGGAAATGAATTCCGATTTATTTTTAAATCAGTTTGAAAATCGTTGCACGCCAGAATTCGTTGCAAAGCTTCTAAATCAGTATGCTAATTCAAATACTTATCCCATGGCTCAGCTCCTACAACAGTACACTTTATGGCCTAGCTACCTGCATTGCAACAACTACTACTCCAAAATGCATGTAGCAAATTGTTTTGGTCAACTCTTTGACCAATATCTTTCACCTCATCCTGGATTTCCGTCCATAGCATATCAGTTGAACTCTGAAGAAGCAGTATGTTGGACATCACAATATAGTAGGTCTCGTGACAAGAAGACTAAGGAAAAATCACCTAAAACAGTTGATAGCTGCAAACAGACTTCCAAATCGAAACAAATGTGGAAAGAACAAAAATCCAGAAAATACAAAACGAATAATGAAAAGCCAGCAAATCATGGTACCATGGCCGGATTCAATTTGGATGGCATCGATTGTAGCGGTATATTACTTAAATCTTCATTTTTTTCCGATTAATATTTTGGTAAGCATTCAGCAGCTAAGTTCTAAAATTCATTTAAAGTTCACTTAACTCTTCTAATATTCAACCTAAACTGAATATTAAGTTACATATGAATTCAGAACTGGATACGACGAAAAGGTCGTTGTCTTCTCAGGTCGGAAACAATGAATCATTTGCAGAAATGAGGCCACGGACTCTGCAACTAACGGCCGAAGGTATGCTCCGATTAGAAAACACTCGTTATCGGCAGTTCCTTGCTGATGTGTGCTCACTTGAAGCTCGTTTGTTTAATGATATCAGTAAAATATGATTTAATATTATCAGATATTCAGTTCATCATAAAAATTCGTTGTTTGCAATTTCTTTTTCTGAATAAACCATTCAATATTTTGTTTCCGAAATTCAAAATATTTTAAATGAAATGACATAATACTGAATTGTTTATCAGCTGAGATGCATGTTGTTAATCATTGATAATTTCACTTCCATAAGAAATGATTGTCTCATAGAGATGCTAACTGTTACTTTGAACAACTTTCTTTTACTGAAATGTGAAATTAGAATTTAATATCGCAACATTTTAGTCTTACTTATACAAAATTATTGAAGTGGACATCGTAGCAGTGGCGATCAATTGACTCTTAAATTTCACATAAGCTAAAGAGTAATAAGAAAATGAAATAATAATACTTTAAATGTCAACGCTGAAACATTCCCTTAGTCTGCCTGATAAAAACTTGAAATAGTTATATTTGTGAGATCAAAAGCAAATTCCACTAATATTAAACATCACTTCTTACTTGTTTTTTTCTCTTTTTTTTTTAACTTTGTTAATCTAAGATGACTTGATTTAATTGCATTAATGAACTAGAATTTTTAAGTTTAGAACCCTATAAGTAAAGTTGGACTGCCAATAATGTTAATTAACATGTTGAGGAGAATTACTGATTTGTAAATAATGAAAAGACAAAAATAAGGTTCAAAAGGTAGAAAGAGATGACTGCGACAAATAATCTTTCAAATTATTGTATAAATATATTTGACAAGACAATAAAATGCTAATTTTTGTAATGAAATTAATCAAGTATCTTTTCCCTTTTATTGTCTCAAATATTACTACAGTAACATCAAATCGAATAATCGAAATATATCCATTTCAATTATCAACTAATTCCTTTTCATCAATCAATTTATTGCATGTATTTTCCTCAATTCGAAAATGACAATGACAGATATATTCAATGAAAATACATCTTATTGCATATTATTGAACTTATTTTATTGCAGATATATTTAATGTGTTTATAATTAAATGCTTCGCTCGTTCCTTTTTT